ATATGAGCAATAATGAAGAACTCTAAAGCAGAGAAAACTTAGCTCTCCTAGTTAAGAAAAAGTTCAGAAAACTCCATAATTTCAATAAATTATTTTCCAAACCTAGAATTTACTAATAAATGGTTCTAAATGCAGGATGTTCTATTTATTGTTCTTAATATGTGCAAGGCACTGTGCTAAGGAGCTTTGTTAACTAAATATACATATTTTATACATAAAAATATATTTTATATAATATATATAAATATATATATCTTTTAATCCTCACAACAATCTGATGAGGTATGGTACTCTGATCCTTATTTTATAGACAACAAAACTGAAGCTTAGAGAATTATGTAACCAAGTCACATAGTAGGTTGTGAAGCCAATATTTGAAACTGCCCTGACTGCAGAGTGTGTTCTTTTAACAGTTATGCTATAGTTGTTACAGAGAAGAGCTAAAAGACTTTAGTGGAGCTCCCCAAGGATAGCTAAAATAGTTGGAGAGGACCTCAGGATAGATGAGACTTGAGATAAGCCCTAAAGTATAGATAAGATATATTTAAGCAAAAGAGAGAAGACCAGAGTTAAGGAGTAAGAGCAGGGAGATAGAATAAGTGATATCTTAAGGTAGAAACCAGTATGTTCGGGAAACTGTAAGACTATAATAAATTTGGGATTCATAGAAGATAAATTGAAAAGGGCAGATGGTCTTCAGTGCCAGTTTATAGAGTTCATACTTTATTTCGTAGGTGTGAGGGAGCTAATGACAGTTTTGAACAGGGGATCAGATTGATAACATGGGTATCAGAATATTTAATTTGTGGGCATTGTGTAGAATGCATCCAGGGAGAAGGTGGTTTGGAAGTTGAGGTGGTCTAGGCAAGAATGAAGAAAAGAATAAAATAATTGGGTGGGTTGCAATGGATATGTGAAAAATGTAAAGTGGGCTTTGTTCACTAAATAAATAATGAGGAATGAAAGATAAAAAAGAATATTATTTGGATTTTAAACCTTTAATAGAAATAGAGAGTTGTTTTGGGAAAGAGAACCTTTGAGGAGAAAGATAAAATAGAGCTTGATTTTAGTTATATTTAGTTTGAAATTATAATGAAAAATTCAAGACTTATTTTGTAGGGAAGTGGAGGAGATAAGGGATTAGTGTTTAAGAGTTTGAGGATTGAGAGTAAGATTTGCAGGTACTAAGAATAAGCAAACTGAAACATAAGCCAGTACCAGTTCGCCAAGAGAAAAAGCATATATACAAAGAGGAGACTGTTGCTCAGTATCCACAATTAGGGTATTAGAAGACGAAGACAAGTCAGCAAAGAAAAGCAGCAGTCATGAATAGTTGGAAAATATTAAGGGGGAGGTAGAAAAGGGTAAAGGAGGTCAAATACATGGTGACGGAAGGAGATTTGATTTTGGGTGGTGAACACAATGCAATATACAGATGATGTGTTATAGAACTATATACTTGAAACCTATATAATTTTATTAACCAACATCACCTCAATAAATTTAATTTAAAAAATAGTTGGAAAATATTTCCTTCTATGTGCTCATCTTCCTCCTCTTCTCTACATGTGAACCTTCACTCTACTTCTCCAAGATACTTTGAGTATATTTCCTTGCCTTGTTCATACCTCATTACTGCCTCTCAAATCAGCATGTCTATATTTCCTATATATCTAATTCCTTGCTATATAATCATTTTTTGTGCTTTTTCAAAATTGTGACTAGCTCTAAAATGGATATTTTCAAGGACTCGAGTCCAAACTACATCGAATAGCCTGTACTAAGTCTCATAGTGCCCCTGATGGGATTTTAAGGAACTCAATTGGCACTGGCCTCTAAAAATATATACTACATACTAACTTAAGTTTATCTTGAAGCATGAGTTAATTCTGAATATATTCTAACTGAATAACAATAGAATT